GACTATCCGATAAGCATTTGCTTATCGGATAGTCGACTAGTCCTTAACATCCTTAGTGTGAGCAGTGTCTCAGTCAGTAACGGATCTCCTCTACCTTTGTTCCAACCTAAACCAACTTTATCAGGGCTGTGGCTTTAATAGCCCTGTTGCCTGGGCAGGCAGCTGAACCTCTGAGTCTGTCAACACTGTACACTGAGGTTTCCCTTTTACAGATAGTGGAAGTGGGGATGATGCCAGGGTTGTTACAAAGGACCTCCTAGGCATCACGAATGTCTTCAGTGCTCCTGCAACTGGTGCTGTCAATGTTACTCTAGCACAGAGGTGGGCGATAATTTTTGAAGGGGGGTGTGGCGGCGCACGCACTCAGTGTCACTGGGGTGACCGCACTCTGGGGTGCGGACACCGCCTCTTTGGCCGCAAGGCAGTCGGCCATCTCTATAACACACTAAACTTCCCCAGTCTGGGTAACCCCGAATCCCTAAGCGGCCCTGCTTGCCGGGCAGCATGGCCCTGTGGCTAGAGTCAGTATATAACCCTCAGTCCAGGGCACTAAGTCCTACTGGCTAGAGTCAATGCAGTTGGGGGCTAACGCCCTGGTAGGGGGACCCAGGGCCACCCTGCTCCACCAGGTCCCAACCCAGGGCCCTGTGAGCAGCAGCACGGTCTGCTACTCCCTCGTCAGGGAATCCAGCCGAAACACACCAAGAATGCCTGGGTGGCAGAGGCCGCTCCTGCACCCTCCCTAGGTTACTTCCTACCGCTCTGGATGAATCAACATCCCATGTGGTAGCTGGGTCTTCCAGCTCTCCGGCAGCTGCTTCTCCCTGGAATTCCACAGGGGTTGCATGGTGGCTGTCTCCCGCGTCTGTGGTTCTCACAGTTGGGGGGGGGGAGGAGGGAGGGATGGATGGATGGCTGCAGCAGTTCAGGCACTCCAGCAGGAGGTCCTTCTCTTTCACTGGTCCACCCAGACTGAGCTGTTCTGCTGCCTTTTATACTGTTCCAGCACTTGGAGCATGCCCAGTCTGGGTGAAGGTATGAGACTTCCTCCGCCCATAGAATCTTAGCTCCTCCCTCCCCCCCTTCAGTGCGAGGGTATTCTCTCCCCAATATTATAGTCCTGCCTCATGCAACACTGGTAATGTTGGGTATGAAGGAATTTCAAGATAAGGCATCCAGATGCTAGTCTATTGTGTCTGCTTTTTTATTGGTTGTATGATATGCAGGGTCTGACGGGTCTGAGTTGGGATGTGACTAAGAGCATCGCTTCAGGCAGAGCTTTCTCAGGAAGCACGTTCCTTCCCAGAACTCCCCAGCAGGGGGAGTACAATCTGCTGACACATCTGTTCTGAGCCTGCTCTGTTTGTGCCACCTCTTCAGCCCCAAAAATACAAGGATAGGGCAGTTCTTGAGCCATGCACAGTGGCTAGAGACAATCTAGCCCTTAACGTGGGGTTTCCTAATGGTTTCATTATTTGCCTTACCCTTACGTTTCTTCCAGTAAATATCACTTTAATATTCGCTGTATGTTTTTATATGTGAAAATGGGATGCAGCTGGCTCTAAGAGCTTCTCAAATAACAGAATTTTTCAGTGGCTTCTCTGCTGAGATCCACACAAAATTACATATGCACATAGAAGAGCCTGCACTCAAGAACTGCAGGCAACCAGATGTGGCCCAGCTCCTGTGTATGTAATTTGAAGAAGCTAACACGCACACATGCAACAGAACGTTTCTGGAAAAATCATGCTGACGCTAGTGAGTTTTGTGGGTGAACTCTTAAAAGTTGTATTGGGCAGATGTTAATCTCCTGAGTGTGTGTGAATAGGTGTTAATGTGGATGCTGGTGTTTACATCATCCAGGAGTAGCTAAACATAGAGGGATGCATTTGGTAAATTTACACCCCATACTTTCCAGCCCCACTGATATCAGCATATTCCTGAAACAAGCACTATTTTACAAAATCTCTTTATGACTGGGCCTTGGGTAGTGACTAGAAAAGCATCTATTGAACTGTATAGGCCAAACTGTTTGCTAGAGTGAATGGGAGACCCCACTGAAGTCTGTGATCTCCTCTATCTCAGACTGTGCCAAGGATGATTCCAGAAGAGGGGAGCTGCATAGATGGCATAAATTTGCCTTTGTTCCACACTTCTTTCTGGGCCTGTGTTAAGTCCATCTCAAAGAATTCAAGTCCATAGTTGAATTGTACCAACTGTTTGCCAAAACATGCTAATGATGTTGGCAGGGTTAATAGCTCATCGTATGTTTAGATTGACTACCAGTGGATTGATAAATGACATGCAGAAAATTAAGATAGATTTCAAAACTGATTTATGCTAGATAAGGCTTCTGTGCTGTAAGAATCTGACTTTGTTTCTGATAAAGCCAATTTTATGCAGAGCTTTGCAAATGTAGGGCATGTCTAAACTGCAGAAAAGAGATATGTTCTTAACATGGGTTAGTTCCCTGTATTAGCTGACTTGGGTTAAAATAGTAGTTAAGACTCCTCAGCTTGGTGTTTAAGTTGTTAGCAGCTTGAGTTAAAGTCTGTAGGGCAGCTTGGGGTCAAACTTAAGGATCCTTTCATATAATAGGTCCTTGTATAATAAATAAATATAATAAATGGGCTTGCGAACAGGAGCAGCAAACAGGGAGTTTTGAGAGAGAGTTCTCCAGGTAAAGGAGGAGTAAATACGGGACCCTTGACGTAAGTGGCTGTCTGTAGTGTGTGTTTGTGTGTGGGGGGTGGGGGGTGGGGGGGCAGAGCCCCAGAGATGCCGTGAGCCAGGACTGTTTATCAACTAATGGAGTAGTCGATGGAAAGCCCATCGACTCCTCGATTGTCAGTTAACCTAATTAGCATCCCTACTAGGCAGTCACTTTCCACTTTGTATGTATGGAACTGACTTCCTTCTTAAGTGGAGAACTTTGCTTCTGTCCTTGTTCAATTTCATTATATTTACCTCAGACCAGTGATCACCAACCAGGAGATCAGGATCTACTGGCAGATCTTGGCACCTCTGACAGGTGATCCTGACTGCTTTGGCCACGAGGCTGTCGAAGGCTGTCACTTCAGCTGCCTCTCCCCCCACTGCTGTGCATCTCTTGCCCTCACTGATGTCAAGGTGGCCTCTCCCACTCTGCATTCTTTCTCCACAGAGCAGACAGGGGGCACAACAGGACTAGGGATGGAGGTGGTTTGCTGGCTGCTTTTGGGAGTGGTGCTGGGCCAGTTAGCACCACTATACCACCACCTGAGGTAAGCAGGGCCCAGTTGGAGCCCATATCCTAAACTCCTGCTTTTTTAATGTCCCTTTCAGCCCTGCATTTCTATGGTTCTATGCTTGGATGTCAGGAAACATCAGTGGCTGCAGCAAAGTGAATCGTTAGTAGGCTCATTAAAATAATGTATTTATCACTCTTGACAGAATTTGTTCAGAGATTTATTTTCTTAGTAATTGTTTTAAAAGCCTTTAAAAATGGACTCTGAAATTTTAGTGATGCATGTTTGAGTAATGTGCATTTATCATAATAATTAGATTCATGCTTTTTAAATCTTAGTAGCTTGCAGTTTGGGATTTTTTTAAGACAGTTTTTTCAAGGGACTGGAATTACTTAAATGAAATGTCTTTATTTTCCCAAAACAAAATACAGGACTATGTAGCACTTTAAAGACTAACAAGATGGTTCATTAGATGATGAGCTTTCGTGGGCCAGACCCACTTCCTCAGATCAAATAATGGAAGAAAATAGTCACAACCATATATACCAAAGGATACAATTTAAAAAAAAATGAACACACATGAAAAGGACAAATCACATTACAGAACAGAAGGGGG